ATAGTGTGATAATAATTAATTATGTGTACCAATCGAATTCTTCCAAGTTACTTAATTTACATCACTCGAGTTCAAATTAGTCCTACTCTACCCATGTAAATCAAGATGACCTTAATCAAGAACATTCAATCACCCCAAAAAAAAAATATATATATATATATATATAATGACCGCCACGATCATAATAATATATCTCTACCTTTTTCCAAATTGTTTAACTTCTACTTCATAGTCTAAACAAATAACTCACCCCTTAACTTGTTATCATTCTCAAATCAATGAAATATAACTTAAAAGGTTGACAAACAATTCAATCCATTTAAAGTGAAAACAAGCGCCCGGATTTCAACAGCAGTGGTTTCAATCAAACCATCTTGCCAAGCTCATTCACTATCATGTAACAATAATAACCAATGTACAAAGACTTGAAACCCTTATACGTGGAAATCAAAAGAGAACAAATTATAAGTTACACACATTAATTTCAATGAAATAAAAAATAGATAAAATATAAATCAAAACACATGACAGAAGGAACTAGAAATATACAAAATTTCATAGCACCAACAATCCTCACATTCCATACGAAAATCCAGTTCTTTCCCTAATAAATAGATTACAAGTTCATAACAGACCTTCAATTTCTGAGATAGAGGGTACCTAATTCAACATTCTCGAGTTTAACAGAAAAACTAGATTCATTAACCATACTTCCCTCGAATTCAATCATCGGCATCTTTTAAGTAGAGAGACTCACCCCCATCACCTGAGCTTCCACCACGCCCTTCTGCAGGCCCACCGCTGCGGACTTCTTGCTTACCTCCGCCTGCCATTGACCTTCCTGAGGCATGCAGCCCCTCCCCAGTGGTGCTGCGGCCGAAGTCGGGAAATCCTACACCTCCAAGTCCACCACTACCTCCGGCCCCATGAGGCTCCCCTTGCAGCATAAGTCCACTGCTTCCTCCTGTGTTCATTCCAAGCTGGCTGTGTAAAGCTTGTTGTTGAAGTGCTGAGTATTGCTGTTGACTGTATAGCATAGAGGAGCGAGCAGCCATAAGTGATTGAGGTGTCATTTGTTGAGCTTGTTGATGCTGCATGTAGTGTGCACCAGGCTGCAAAATCCCACCTCCAGGATACTGCAAGACAGCACCAGACGGTGAACGATACTGTAGATACAAGTCTAAGGGTTGTTTGACAGAGTTTTTGATAAAAGTAATCCTACAATATCACGTCTTTCCTAAAAATTGATGAAATTTATGATTGAAAAGTTGTTAAAAGCTGTGGGTCCATTAAATGTTTGATTAAAATTGAAGTTTAACAAGTTAAAAAGTTAATAAAACTTTAGCGAAGTTTTTCAAACAAGGAACTAATCGTTTCCACCTTCATGAATCGATCATTCATTATGATAAAAAATCATAACACCACCACTTGCACTTGCTGGAATTAGTTATTATGAAAATTGTTAAATCAGCTCATCTAAAAGGTTAAACTCTCATACAGGGATCAAACTTATTCATCTTAAAAAAAAAAAAGTCTTCAGCACTCCCTCCAATCTCATGTGTAGGCATGATTCATTTTCATAGAAGGCCTAACACGGTGAACAATTTTCCTAACTGAGGGGCATCAATGAGCCTCGTGTTTTTACTTTTATATCATTAAACCACCTTATCTAAAAGTTTAAACCATTCAAAAGGGATCTAACTTATTTGAAGCCGTGACTTCAGGGAAATGAAACAATGATATTGGGTCCAAACAGAAGTATTCAGTTTACTAATGTAAAATCAACGGTCGAAATTCAAACACATGACTTATTCTTCTCTACGAATTCCTTTTGATATAAAAATATTGCAGCCAACTACCTGCGAATGCATGCTAGGTGGTTGAGGTTGTGCATCAGCAATAGCAGCTAGATACATCAAGTTCCTTTGTAACCTGGCCTGGTTCCTGCCATGATAAAGTCATTGTGATCTATATATCAGAGCAAAAGGGAAAAGAGTAAATGCGTCTAAACAAAGTCTCACCAATCAGCACTATATGTTCATTTACAGCCACTAAGAACATGTATATTAAGTACCAAATGAAAATTATCAACAATAACCAAAATTCACATTGATGGAACACGAAAAATCCAAAATACTAGGACTTTCATGAAGAAAGAGGAAAAAGAAAAGGTCGTAGAGTTTTTCCTCTCTGGAAGGCCGATCTCCCCTTCAAGAAAAAAACAACAGGTAAACCAACTGTTACATCATTTGTGAGGTTTCTCAAGATTTCAGTTGAACATGTTTGAGAAAAAATTGTTTGTGCAATCAAGTAAAATCAAAGATGTAAAACAAATTATCATACAAAGAAGCTTATTATTTATTATTAACTTGAAGAGCTTATGCCTTCGATGTGACCTAACATTTTAGCTCAACCAAACAACAAAATAATGCGAGATTGTTCCCATTTGTCACTGATGCTTCGATATCTACTAATGTATCAGCCTCTTGTAATGTCTACGATCCTAGAGCGTGCAAGACAATGCACAATATCTAAGAAAAAAAAATCCCTTTTTCCACACTTCAATTTAAGAAATTTTATCTAGTGAACTGCAAGAAAAACCAGTAAAAACATATCCAATATTTTGGGATCAAGGAAGAAGAGGAAGCAAAGAAAGTTATAGTAGTTACTCTGCACATTCACTCATTTTCCCCGAGTTTTGGCTCTCGACAATCTTGAGAATCAGCGACTTGTTTTCATCCAGATACTGCAGATAATATAAAATCAACAACATACAAAACCAAGAAAAGTAGTCATGTTTCAGCACCCGCACCCTATTACCAGTGGACAGTTGATCTGCATCTGTAGCTAAAAGCATAAATATGTTGAAGGCATTTGTGGTTATAATAATTCATCAACACAAAATTGATACAGATGAAAAACAACTGAGTGAACATTTGGCAACAAATGGTTGATAAGACTCAACATTTGCAATAAGGAATAACCATAAATCATAACTCAACAGCACATCCTACACTTAGATTACATAGAAATCTATACAATAGAAAGGCTTCATAAAACATACACTCAACTTTAAGTTTAGTCATGGGAGTCCTCCAAATTGCAACTTTAAATTCCAATCATTAGGATGGAGAGGATCAAAATCTTGAAATGAAGCATTACAAACGATACACTACACACATAATTCAGTTTTTACAGAAAAATAATACAATTCTTGATTGAAAATATTTAGTGAACGAACATTAAAAAGTTGCACCCCTTTTTTAATTATATTATATGTTATTCTTCCCTTGAAGCTATATTAATGAATCTAGTGCACAAGGTCGCGACAGTTGTATGTAGAAATAAACAAGAACTGGTTAGTAGATTGGAGATACAGTGTCGGGATTAATCACTCCCCCAGACTTCAAATGGACGGACCTAATATTCCTGATATATAAAGAATTTTTAGGGACCGTTTTGTGTGGGTGAGGGGTTTAGAACTTCCTGAAAAATAATAAGTACAACTACAAAGAGGACATAGTTCTGGCATTTAGAGTTAATATGGGAGTAGTGCACTTGGTTTATTTTCTGATTAAGCAGCAGCAAAGAGGGGGCAGTTCTAAATCTTTATATATAAGTGCCTGTGGTTCAATTGCAGGGATTGCCAACAGTAGCAAAAACAAAACCACACCAAATACCAAATTATCCAGCAGAAACAAAAAGGAAGCCAATCAAGTATTAACTGAGCAACAAGGTGACAGTCAGGGCGAGGAAAGTAGGTAAAATGGCAGAGCGGCCAAGCGAAAAAGAAATAGCAGACGAAGAAAAGTTTGAACAGAAATCCACAGAGAAGAAGAAAGAAAACGAAGAAGAAAAGAAAAGAAAGACCTGTTGAATGTGATCAGTAGTGACGTTGCTGGGAAAGTAGGCTGCCATCATGGGCTGCATCTGCATCAGGTGCTGCTGCATGCCTCACTTCTTTATACTCCCAACTCTCTCACACAAACACACACTTTCTCTCTCTCTCTCTATAAATATCAGCTGCCTTTCTGTATATATCTATTCTCAATCAGTCTCTCTGCAACTTTGACTGTGATCTTCCTTCACCGTTTTGGGAACTAGGGTTTATCCGTTTAACGCGAAGAGTTCTTACGCAACAAATATCATACTGTACAATCAATAGTGCGAAATGGGTGAAAAAATTATACCACTCTGTAAATAAATAT